TCCAGCCGCATGTATAACAACTACATTGACCCGCGCCTTCACGCAATTGCTTTTTTTTTTTTTTTTTGGCTTATTTTATTCGGAGGCAAATTAGACGACAATTGCAAAGTTCAGGAGCTTCAAGCTCAACACAACAGCTGTAATGCATGGTCATGGATAAGCCTTTCATTGCTATTTTCAATCTCTGCTCGGGACAGAGCCCCCACATGCCAAATTAGTAGTTAATTATACTCTTTCTTATCTTTGATTTTATACTCTTTCAGTCCTAAATATGCAACTTTGTTGATAAATTCATTTTGATCTTAAATATATGCTCTCAATCTTTTTTATATTCCTCATTTATAATATTTTTTTCTCCCATTGCCCTCATTAGTTTCATTACTTTTCTTATCCTCTTTGTCTTCCACGTTAATGCGCTCGTTAAAATTAGAGTATTTTTAATAAAAAAAACAACATACAATTTTTTACACGATAATAACGACAAATGAACAGCTTAAATAGTTTTTTAATCTTTATGAATTAGTTAAATGTATGTGATCAGCTCATGGGTTTCATTTCAACTGGATCCCAGCTAGCTAGGGTTTAGTTAAGAAATGAGATTATGCGCGCACGCGGGTCAATAATTTTGCTACTCGTTGCCAGTGCATGGCCGAGCCCACAATTGCAGATATATGTGGGGCAAAACTGGAACTTAGATTTTCTATATATGGCAAGAACTAGATACACTCTTTCTATTTATATTATAGAGTCGCGTAAAGTTATAGTCTTGAATATACGGGAATATGAAAATTATTCGAGAGCATGTACAGTGCCTAGTGCCAACTCTAATAGGGTTTATTTTATTTAATTTGACTTAGTTGTGTGTGTGTGTGTGTGTGATGCTTGCGATCTATAATTGGCAAAATAACAAAATGCTAAAGTTGAGATAGTATTTTCAGTTCACGAACACGATGAATTTCATTTGCGTGTTTTTAAAAATATTTAAATTGATGAATCAAATTAACTCTTTTTTTTTAACGAATCAAATATAAACACTCGCATACATGGGCGGCGCCACATATAAATCATGGGGGCAAATGCACCCCTTGAACATAAAAAAATACAAAGAGGATTAATTATCCTAATACTTTGTACCTCTTGAATTAAATATTTTGAGCCCTTAGTCCAACTTTAAATATATTTAAATTTTAAAAAATTTTATACTTTTTTAAAATTAGTGATGATATTAACAATTGCCACAACAACGATAAAAAGAAAATTTTTTTATGAAATTTGTGAAAAATCGGTTGTGAAATTATATGGCCATTGATAAATAATTATCTAATGATTTATATTAAAAAAAACATTTTTTTTAACATCAACAATGAAATGATTGTTAATGATTTCATAACATGAAGTCGAAGGTACAATTTTTTTAAAAATTATTATTTTTTTTAAATTATTAATTTTAAAAATGTAGCATCTCATGGCCGGAAGTCTTGGCACCGCCACAGCTCACATACATACCTGTATATCTTTTTCATAGAAAATGGTGACACGCACTTATGACATTCAGATTAACCAACTCAATCAGTCAGGTTAAATTTTTTGACCCGCTTAGAATAAAATATAAGTGAACTCACCTATTTAACAACACTCAATAAAAATTATACCACATTTTGACACGCCTAAAATATTTTTATGTATATATTCCTGTGATTAATTTGGGTATAAATATATGATCTTTTGACTGGATAAGATACGTGAACATTTATTTAAGGACGTAGCTAGCTAGGTGTATCGTTTCAGCATATTTGACTTTAACAAGCATTATTAAGTATAATAAACTTTATATTTAGCCAGGGTTCAAGTTGAGATAATTGATCTCCATACAAAAACATACACTGTACATATATACTCCCTCCGGTCGTATTTATAAGTCATTTCTACCAACCTCATCAATACCAATATAATAAAAGTACAAGGAATAAAAGTAAATAAAATTTCAAATATAATCCTCAAATAAAAAACAAAAAATAAGTTAATTATATTATATTATTTTTTCTATCTTTCTCTCTCTTACTTTTTGAGAGTAATTTGAGAATTTCAATTTGAAACAAAATAAATTCATTAACAAATAACTTATAAAGTGGACTAGATTATGCTCTTAAAAGTGACTTATATATTAAACCGGAGAAATATAAAACAAGAGGCTGGTTTATCATTTAATCTCGGCATCTTGCATATTAATGAGCTCAATCTAGATATCAACTATGCATAGTTATTAGAGATGCATGTACATCTAATAAATGTTTCAAATTACGAGTCTATTCATAACATTAACATTTAAGAAATTAAAGTAGATTCATCAATTTCAAGAATTGTATATATTCTTGTTAGGCAAAATAAAAAGGGATGTCAGGAGGTATGTCAGGGAAGTGAGGTCTCAAAAAAATGGAAGAACCTGACTTCTAGTCAAATGTGGGAAACCTGAGTTCTCTTGTCATAGTTCATTCGGATGTGAAAATGTGAAGTGAAAAAAATTAACGTAGATGCAGGGATGCATTAATTAAGGAAAGAGATTGTGGGTTATGTTGGTCGTACAATAGAAAAATAAAAAATTAAATTACATGATAAAAGAAAAATTAAAATAAAGTAGCAGACGTGGAGTCTGAAACTGATAGTTTGTTGATACTAATGATAATTCTTGTTGAGAGAGGGCTCCTCTATTTATAAATGATCTTGGCTTAATGCCCAAGCCCCATAATCACCATTTTTCTTAAATTTAGGAAGCACTTTTTTCGTTATGGTCACTTGTCATGGGTAGAGTGTAAATAATCTTGACTTAATAGTTAAGGCTTCATAAATATTATTTTTTAATTATTTTAAAATTAATTAAGTTGAGTTGAGCCCGAGCATTTAAATTCACAATTTAAATGTAAATAATTCTTATTGTTGAAGGCTTCGAACAATCATTTTCATATAAATATGTATAAAGAGGAAGAGGAAGGAAATAGATCTTAAGTTAATTTATTTATCCTACATTAATTTTAGAATATAAAATTATTTTGATTGAATACAGAATTTTAAAACTTTATTTCGATCAGGACTCTCGATGATGTCGAAAGTCTTAATTTGTTCCTAGGAGTACGCATTACTAAAATATTATCGATTATAGTTGCAATGGCTACGAGTGTTAGAGAAAGTTTTTTAAAGCAAATAATAACAGGCATCCACTATTACTCACCCGTTAATAACAGGCTCTGCTTGGCTGCAAGCAAAAAATCAGTTGAGGACAGCCTCATATGCAAAACAGGTGTTGATCTTTAAAAAACAAAATGCAATGTCAGGTTTGTGTAGACGGTGAGATGATAAAATTATGAGTAACTAGTTAATGGATGACCCCATGCATTGCACTCAGGCTGTAATAAATTTTCACTTGTATAGATAATGTGATTTCCTGTAAATTTTGCTATGTATCAATAATAATATATTGATTGCTTATCAGTGAGGATTGTGTCTAATTTAACGAAACAAGCTAATATTTTACAACATTGTGAATTAAAATTTCAAGTCTTATTAAGAAAAGTGCCCACTAGTAACAAAACTATGAGGGGTGAGGAGGGCTATCCCCCCTCATAATTTGACATAATTTACAAGTGTTTTAGCTGTAAAAAAAACATTGAAGAATTTTTTAGCCCTTCTAGCCCTCTCTTATTTTTATATATATTCTTGCCCTAGTACACCATCCTAAATTTGTGTTAGATGCTCACATTTAATGTCTGATCATATTTTAAATAGGATTGCTTCTAATAAGTGAATATTTATTAACGATAAAAAAAATTGAGTATTTGAGTCTTTGTATTAAATAGGGTTTAATTAATAAGTGGCACTATTAGTATCAATATTAATACGGGTTGCTATATAATAATGAGAAAATCATAATAAAATCCTCTGAATTATATAAATAATAACATAATCTCTCAAAATATCATAATTTTATTAAAATTTTTAAAAATTTATGTATTAATAAATTTTAAATTAAAAATATTATTTACCTTTATTGATAAGTTGTGGTTTCTTATTTAATTTTTGTGATTTGCGAAACCAAAATTCTTATTTTTTAAGTAAAAGTTATTGGGGCTTGTTATTTCTAATAAAGATAAAATAATTTTTTATTTTAATTTTTTTAACATATACTTAGGGACTTTAATAAATTTATGATGTTTTAAAAAATTATATTATCATTTATATAATTTAAAAAATTTTATTATTACTTTTGCTTTAATAATTGATATTTTATAGTATTAAAGTTTGAATTTGATACTAATAGAGACGTGGCAATTAATGAAGGCTGCTAACTGCTAAAGAGAGCGGGCCCCGGAAACATCCAACAAGAGGGGTCGATACATTCCGTTCAAAAGAAGCAAGCTGCGAAATTCTACGTCCCATTCAGATGCGCGCGCTCGAAGAGAGACGTTCGCGTACTTTTTTCGATTTTATTTACGGGGCAAAATTTTGAAGTCATCATTGATTTTAAATATAGAATAAAGATGTAATAACTAATTTATCTTTTTAATAGTGTCCTTATTAATTGTATCAAGCTGTTGAAAAATTTTTAATTTCTAAATATAATTTATTTTTTCATTAATTTCGGTGAAGGGAAGAAATTAAAGTCACACAATTTTTTCAGATTTGTGGAAACTAACAACTACTGAAAAGAGTGTGTTTATATACATATAGCACACAAATAATTTTTGAGTAAGATAAACACAAATTAGGTGAAAATTTAATAATAATTATAATAATATAATAATAATAATAATGACGTAACCGGGACAGTATTAATGACATGGAAATAGAGAGGCGGGTAGGCTCTTGAGAAAGAGACAAAAGCGCTAAAGTTGAAGGGAAGGTGGATTATATATAAAACAATGCAGAAGGCGGTATGGAGAGTCTTAATCAAGTGGAGTGTCCCTCCCCGTGGTCAGACTCAACTCTTCGTCAAGTGTCAACGGTATTGTAACATGGAATGGATCCATTCAGAAACCTTTTCCTGGTTTCTTCCTAACTTGCCACTCTTTTCCTCTCCCTCCTTTCCCTATATATGCACACTCACCTCTTTTCCCTCCCCGCGTACCAATTCCCAAAGCTAGCCCTTTCTGTTTCTCCCCCACTCTCTAATTTTTATTATTGCTCGATCTTTCTGGCTAGCCAGGTAGGGTGGTTCTCCCATGTCTTCTTCACCAATCATATACCACATTTTGATCTCTCTCCATCCCTCCACATGCACGCACACACTCTCTTAACTTCAAAATAGAAAGTTTAGACTGTAGTGGTTCACAATTAATTAGGTGCAACTTGCATGTGCGATTATGTTTATACATGCAAGGCATATATAACGAGACTTCCTAAGAATTACATGTACTTGCTCTTACTTGCAGCCGGTGATTTAACATGTCTCCTGCAATGTTAGTAGCTGATGAGAGGCGCGACGACCAAACTAGTCCACCCGAAAGCCAGCTCCTGAAAGGTGTGAAGCTGCTCTGTGAAAATGAGCTTCACAGGGTACCCAACAAGTACATACTACCTGCCTCTGAACGACCCGGCAGTACCAATACACAGGATCCGAATCTTCAGTTACCTATCATCGATTTTGGTGATTTGCTTGGCCCAAAGAGGCCCCAAGGCCTTAATTCCATGCGCGATGCCTGCCAACAGTACGGATTCTTCCAGGTCTGGTGTGTTTAATTACATGGCATGAATATCTGTGACATGTCTTGATGGTCATCATATGCTTATATTCTTCATGTGTTAAGAGTCTGATGATTAAAGTTTGATGCAGCTGGTGAATCATGGGATCGCGGAAGATGTGATAAAGAAGATGATAGAGGTGACTGGGAGGTTCTTCAATCTTAGTTTTGAGGAGAGATGCAAGTACATGACCCCAGATATGACAGCTCCTGTTCGATATGGGACTAGCTTCAGCCAAACCAAAGACACCGTCTTCTGCTGGAGGGACTTCTTGAAGCTGCACTGCCATCCCTCACCTGATTTCCTCGCTCACTGGCCTACTTCCCCCTCGGACTTGAGGTTAGTCTCCCCCCCCACCCCGGGGTTTCAAAGTATCAAACTTTTTTCAAACTTTCAGCCTGTCCATCGGTGGTTCCATGAAGCAGCACATATCTCTAACACTATTAGTTCATTGCTACTGACATTTAATATTGCTGATTGCTGAATTATTAATTGAATTGCTTGTCTTTTGTCAAATATCCAGCACCAGCACGGTCCAATCTTGTTTAGTCTTGGGTAATTGTTTATTCATCGCTTTATTACTTTATACGTCATTATTTACCCATATGCGCGCTGTTTTAATATTTTATAAAGGGAAGTGGCGTCTACCTACGCACAAGAAACCAAACACTTGTTTCTGACACTAATGGAGGCCATCCTAGAGAGTTTGGGAATTGTGGAGGCCAGCCAAGAGGTGACAGAAAAGAAGGGAATTCTTAAAGACTTCGAAGATGGGAGCCAGATAATGGTGGCCAATTACTACCCGCCATGCCCGGAACCAGACCTAACTCTTGGCATGCCTCCTCACTCTGATTATGGCTTCCTCACCCTTCTCCTCCAAGACGAGGTCGAGGGCTTGCAGATCCACCATCAACAGCAATGGCTCACCGTTGACCCCATTCCTAATGCCTTCGTTGTTAACGTTGGAGATCACTTAGAGGTTTGTTTTATGTTTCAAGTCCTATACAAAAGAAAGAGCTCACAGTAAATTAATCAAGGATTTTTCTTTTTTCTTGTTTTTTTTTTAATGGAATAGATATACAGTAATGGGAAATACAAGAGCGTACTGCATAGGGTTTTGGTGAACGGTGTGAAGAGTAGAAGATCGGTGGCTTCGCTGCATAGCCTTCCATTCAACTGCGTGGTGCGACCTTCACCAAAAGTCATAGACGAAATGAATCCGAAGCGTTACAAAGACACAGATTTTGGGAGTTTTCTTGAGTATATTTCCACGAAAGAGGCCAAGAGAAAGGATTTCCTGGAGTCGAGGAAATTGACTAATTAAGAGAAAATTAGTGAAGATATAATGTAGAAAATATGAAAGCACAGGATGTGTTTTGACTTTGTAATGTCAAATATATGTAACATCATTGCCGTTTTCCCTCTCTGTTCTTCATTCCGGGGCTTTATTTAGCCGTGTGTAATAGAAAATTTTGGCAATAAGTTTGACATTATTGGATGTTATCATTAATTATTTGATGAAAAGATATCATGGAATTACGTCTCCTTCGCAGCAAAGGAGCTCGTCAGCTCAACTGCTCAAGCCATACGGTGGATGGATGTAAGTGAATCGGCACAGAGTCAAAACTGATCAGTTAAGCACAAGGAGCAATCTCTTGCAGCACGATGTCGGTATATTACTAGAGAAAGAGAAATCCAATATTGGTGCAGAGTTCAATCCATTAATAAATAGCAAAAATCACGTCCAATAACCTAGCAAAAAATTTACTCACAGATGAAAAATAATACAAAATTGATTGTTGTTAATACCAGAATATAAACTTATTTCTTTTAAATGAGGCTTGTCATTAATTTTTGTTTATGAATAAATTTCTTGTCAGATCCTAATTAAATGTGATTCTTCTTAATAAATATTCCCTAGCTATTGCTTTCGAAAGCCACACCTTCGAGAGAAAGGGTTTTTTTTTTTTTAAGAAAAAAAGGAAATACAGGGATATGAAAAACCATACAAAAACTAAAAACAGAGTTCTATTGAAATCAACCAGCCACCTGCAACCCAAGTTCAGTTGGCGAATTAAATTGAAAAAAGAAATTATCAAAGTCATGGGTAGACCTGAACTAAGTATTTTTAATGTGCCTATTTCTAATATCTTTTATAATACCTCCACTTTTTTTGGTTTTTTTCAATTGTTAGCTTTTATATAAAAGATGAGACATACAGATCCAATTAAATAATTAGTGCATTCATTGTTTTCCCTAAATATGAAGTTAAAAGTAATATAGTCCAAAACTTTGATAGCTAAGGACGAGAGAGAACGCTTAAGAGGGAAAGTCAAGCAAATTAAACATATATTTTTTTTTCTGAATCATGATCTTCCTCCAAGTATTTTCTTTTCCCTGCTTCTCTCTATCCAAATAAAACTTTAATTTCAAGCAATCGTGTGTGTGTGTTTGTAGCATTTGAATAATATTTTCCATGAAAGCAAAATTGTGCAAGTAAGACATCAACAATTCTCCCCTGAGCCTTCGTTAAGATTCATGTGTGTTTTCGAACTTTGGTCTCATCTCTGCCCTATATATACACGCCGATCGATCGAGATTCAACTACGAAAGAGCTGTGATCACGATAAATTAATGCCCACAAACCTTCCTGGAAATGCTTGTTCCACATTAATTAAAGGGAATATTTAGAGTTGAGATCGGCCTCTTCTTTATTTATAATTAACCTAATTTCCTTCACATAAACGTGATTGCTCAGGGCCAATATATAATAGGTTAAGTGATATGTAAATGTTTGTAATATCAATATTATCAACAATAAATAGTAGTTGTATATAAAACGCAATATTGTTCTTAAGGTAATTGCTTCATATGCCCTTTGCACATATATACAGAAGAGTCACAAAACCACGATGCTATGTTCAGGGACGGAGCTAGGTTGTCCAATAGGGACGGACCTAGGTTGTACATGATGTGTATTCGAGTACGTTACAAAGTCAGCCCCCAAATTTTTTATGAATTCTCATTTTACCACTCCTTTCATATTAATTTCTGGTTCCATCCTTGGCTGCGTGTTGTCTCACTGCATTGGACAGATGTTCTTCGAAGAAGAATTATATCTTTCTGGGAGAAGAAGAAAACTATGCTCTGCAATTCTGCATGTATGTGCGCGACAAAAAAAAAATGGCAGTGTTTTTGTTGGCAAGACAACTTGGGCAACTAATTATTTATCCCAAAAACAAATAGAGTACCCAGAATCAAGCGCGACTTCAAAATTCTCATTCATTCGGCATGAATAAAATAAAAAGGCGATCATATTGGTGCATAGTGGACTTTGAAAGAAAGAAATATTATACTACCTCCGTATAAACACTTTTAGATAAAATCTCACATACCAATAAATTTTATTAAATGTTCTTAACAACTTTATCTTTAAAAAAAATATAAACTTTCAAAAATATCGATCATTTAATATATTAAAAAGAGAATGAACAAGAATTAATTATAAAATGAGAAAGGATAAAATTAAAATTGATGCATATAATGAAACCTTAATCTATTTAAAGTATTTTGTATTTTGAAACAGGAAAATTCTTTTAAAAGTATCTTATAATTTAGGACTGGAGAGTATTAATAATGGAAAAAGAAAACCAAAACAAAAATCCGGACTGGGAGCAAAGAAATCAGAAGAGCGTGTATGCATGTAACTAATACTCCATATCAATCATAATACGATTCATTACTAACTCGTATATATTTTAAAAAAAGTTGGTTGAATCTTTAATTTTCTAAACATTTGTATATCTTTGCAATCGTATATTTGAGTGAAATAAATATGACGTGTGACTTATTTAAAACAACTTCATTAATTATTATTTGAATTGAATATGATATAATAAAATAAAAGTATAATTGAATATAACCGACTCAGTACTTCATATTATTAACTATGTTATAGTCCAGATAGGTATACTAAAAAAAATTACCGTCAAATGTCAATTAAAGGAACATGAAATTCGTTGGGTTTTGAAGCGGCAGCTAAGTAAAACAGTTGAGAAATTCAAAAGCTGAAACGTATATTTTAAGAGGTCAATGTTAATGGTTGGTGGGTTAGAACTTGCCATGAAAGTTGACCATGACCAAGCTGGCCTTTTTCAGTTGACTTGACCCGATTTTGATCACTTGCATATACACTACATTGATCCCCGTATAAGATCCACAGCCTCAACTTCCAAAACCCATTTTATTCGGTGCCCATTTGAATTTTAATTGAATATGATAAATTATAAAAATAATTAATTAAATGATAATTTTAATTACAATTGATTATATTATAATACAATATATTTAAATACTATTTTTTAAAATTAATTTTAGTAGAATTAAAAATTTTTGAATAATTTAATTAAAATTAATTTTAGCTATATAAATTACTATATAGGATATTGCTTTTTAAAATTAAATTATTAATATATTTGTATATAATATTATGAAATTTGTTAAATTTTATTTAAGAAGTAAAATATATTATTTAAATTACATATTTGATTAATTATTAATATTAATAATTTAATTTATGTAAATAAATAACTCAATATATCTTAATTCAAATAAATTTAATAAAAGAAAAATATTTAATTCTTAAATATCAAACATCAATTTTATAATAACTAATAAAGATGATAATATACAAATTGATCTTCAATGATATTATGAATATGAGCCATATTTGATGAAAATATTAAATACCGTCTTAAAATTTTGGCAACAAAGAAAATGTAACAATGTCATAAATGATGCAAAATCTTTCTCTATGAGCTTTTGCAACAATCTTTGTTATGACTCTAAATTTTAAATTAATTTTTTTATTAATTAATATTTTATTTAAATTAATTTTATAGCAAGTATTGAGTGAAAAATGATGGTTGATAGAACTTATGCTGGTAACTTTTTTAAAAATATAAAATTTAAATTTTATTAAAAAAAAGAGAAGAGAAGAAAATTTTATTTTATTTTTATTAAATTACATGCCTTCTTCATAATTTTTTTCTTAAGCTTCTTTTTATAATTTTTGATAACGTTTCTCTGCACAAGCTCGAATTCACAGCTTCCGAAAAAAATTAATTTTTCTTCCAAAAACCAATTAACCAAAAAACTTGTGTTTGGGTAATTGAAGCAAAAATTGATTTTTTTTTTCCACAAAAGATCGATTAACATGGCAATCAATTATCAAAGCACACACTTATTTCCCTGAAACCAATCAAAATTCAAAACGCCAACCAGGGCGTCCTGCGGGTGAAAAGTGGCAGTCGTAGCATGGGATCCACCGTTGGCCCATCCAGGGTTTAGCGGTTGTAAGGCAAAAATGATATTTCCTACATTATTTTTTATCCGAACCAAACAAAATTAAAACTCATTATAATTCTATTAAAAATTAAATAAATTTCATACTTTGCTCGTATTGAATAAATCCTTAAAAAAATGTTACTTTCCCACGTCAATGTTAAATAAGGGTGAAAGGCAAAAATTGTAAGTAATTGTCAATGTAGGTTTTTATTAAAAGAAATAACAGCGACAAAACCCCTTTCCCAATTATTTTATAAATAGGACAGCATATTATATTTGTAAAAAGTAAAAACTAGTTGTTCAATATTTTGTTTTGCTTATAAATATAAGTAACATTAATCTTCCTTCTCACCCGTGCATTTTGTTTTTCAGACTACCCATATTAATTGCGTATATATCAGTAGTTTCTGATGCAAAATATTAAAAGTATGGTATTTTAGGAAAGACTAATACACGTTTTTATAAATAATTAACTTAACTAATTTTTAATCTGTGTCAATTAGTTATCTAATTCATAGATTTATAACCGGAGGAAGTAACTCTAGGTAAAGTTGAATTTTTCTGGGCGGCTGAATTTTAGTATTTTTTTATAAGGAAGAATAAGTAGAAACATTTAAAATGAGAAGGGTCCTTTGAACTAGCGAGCTCGTTAGATTTTTTTTTTTTTAAGTCGGCGATGGAGTCATCAATTCAAATATTCAAAATCCAGTAAAATATAACATTTAATAGCATATTTTTTTCATTCTCTTAAAAAAGGGCATTTTTTTTCATCCTGTAGGCAATATCATAGACTATTAATTTGTTGTCTATAACGTAAGCCTTGCTGTATCGGTTCAGGAATTTACGATCCTCGCATCTTCACAATAGATTAAAATTAGGAGAATTATTTTAATCAAGCACGTAAGTCGTTAACTTCCCTAAATTCACGGAAAATTATTCATTATTTTAAGCTCAAATGTTATCTAAATTAAATTAATTGGCTCGATATTATTAAATAATATTTAAATCACTAGCACAATACTTATATTTTGAAAGCATGGACACATGAATTTACTTAATAATCAAATGGGTAAATAATAGATGCACGTTTACATTAATTTGAAAGTACATGAAATGTTTGCCGGTAAAAAATGAAAAACAAAGAAAGTGTACAATTTTTG